ACCTTGGGGACACCTTGGGGACATCACTGGGTCATTGGGGACACCCAGGGACAGCACAGGGGACACACAGGGACAGCACACAGGGGACACTCCTTGAGCGCCTCAATGGCGTTCTCAGCGTTCCGCTCCTGGGGGGACATTTGGGGACATTGGGGACATTTGGGGACATCGGGGACACCTCAGGGACACCTTGGGGACATTTGGGGACATGTTTGGGACACACAGGGACATTGGGGACATCACAGAAGGACAGCACAGGGGACACTCCTTGAGCGCCTCGATGGCGTTCTCGGCGTTCCACTCCTGGGGGGACATTTGGGGACATTGGGGACATCGGGGACACCTTGGGGACACCTTGGGGACACCTTGGGGACACCACAGGACACCTTGGGGACATTGGGGACACCTTGGGGACATTTGGGGACATGTTTGAGTCATCACAGGACACCACAGGGACATTGGGGACACCTTGGGGACCTCGAGGGACACCAAACCTCCCCTGAATGTCCCCAAAAGTCCCCAAAATCTCCCAAAACCTCCCAAGTCCCCCCAACCCCCTAAAGTCCCCAAATGTCCCCAAAATCTCCCAAATTCCCCCAAAATCTCCCAAGTCCCCAAAAGTCCCCAACTCCCCAAAGTCCCCGAATGTCCCGAAAGTCCCCCAAAGGTCCCCAACCCCAAATTGTCCCCAAATGTCCCCAGGTGTCCCCAAAAGTCCCCAAATCTCCAAAATCCCCCAAATTCCCCCAAAATTACCCAACTCCCCAAAAGTCCCCAAATGTCCCAAATGTCCCCAAATCCCCCAAAATCCCTCAAATGCCCCAAATCTCCAAAGTCCCCCAAATGTCCCCAACCCCCAAAATTGTCCCCAATTGTCCCCAAATGTCCCCAACCCCCAAAATTGTCCCCAATTGTCCCCAAATGTCCCCAACCCCCAAAATTGTCCCCAATTGTCCCCAAATGTCCCCAACCCCCAAAATTGTCCCCAATTGTCCCCAAATGTCCCCAACCCCCAAAATTGTCCCCAATTGTCCCCAAATGTCCCCAACCCCCAAAATTGTCCCCAATTGTCCCCAAATGTCCCCAACCCCCAAAATTGTCCCCAATTGTCCCCAAATGTCCCCAACCCCCAAAATTGTCCCCAATTGTCCCCAAATGTCCCCAACCCCCAAAATTGTCCCCAATTGTCCCCAAATGTCCCCAACCCCCAAAATTGTCCCCAATTGTCCCCAAATGTCCCCAACCCCCAAAATTGTCCCCAATTGTCCCCAAATGTCCCCAAAGTCCCCCCAAGTCCCCAAATCTCCCAAATCTCCAAAATCCCCCAAATGCCCCCAAAATCTCCCAAGTCCCCAAAAATCCCCAAAGTCCCCCAAAGTCCCCAAATCTCCCAAATCTCCAAATGTCCCCAAAATCCCCCAAAACCTCCCAAGTCCCCCAAACATCCCCAACCCCCTGAAGTCCCCAAATGTCCCCAAATGTCCCCAAAGTCCCCCAAAAGTCCCCAACCCCAAATTGTCCCCAAAAGTCCCCAAATGTCCCCAAATTCCCCCAAAATCTCCAAACGCCCCAAAAGCCCACAACCTCCCAAAGGCAAATTGTCCCCAAAAGTCCCCAAATGCCCCAAAAATCCCCAAATTCCCCCAAAGTCTCCCAAGTCCCCAAAAGTCCCCAAAGTCCCCAAAAGTCCCCAACCCCAAATTGTCCCCAAAAGTCCCCAAATTGTCCCCAAATTGTCCCCGGGCGCCCCCACCTGCCAGACGCCCACGACGGCGTTGGCGATGAGGATGAGGAGGATGACGAAGGGCTCGACGAAGGCCGTGATGGTTTCCTCGCCCTCCTCGAACCAGGCCAGCACCTTGGGGACGTCGGCGTCCCCAAATTTAAAAAAAAAAATTAAAATTTAACCAAAAAAATTTAAAAAAAAGAAAAAAATCCCCCAAAAATTCTCTGAAAATTAAAAAAAATCCCGATTTTTTTCGTTGTAAAATTCCCAAAAAATCCCAACAAAACCGAGATTTCCCCGCAAAAATCCCAAAAAATTTCCCCTGAAAATTCCACTAAAAATTCACCCAAAAAACTCCAAAAAAATTTTTTTAAAACTCCCAAAAATTATATTAAAAATTAAAAAAAAAATGTCAAGAAATCGTCAAATAATTCCAAAAAATCCTAAAAAAATGAGTCCCAAAATTACAAAGAAATCCTAAAAAAATCCCAAAATGCCAAAAAAAATTCCAAAAAAAGCCAAAAATTCGAGGAAAAATAATTCCCACCCAAAAATTCCCCAGGAAATTCTGCAAAAGATCCCAAAAATAGAAAAAAAAAATCAAAAATTTGGAGAAAAATCCACAAAATTTCTACCCAAAATCCAAAATATTCCCCCGAAAAAACAGAGGAATTTCCCAAAAAAATCTCCCGAAAATATTGCAAGAAATCCCCCAAAAAATCCAGAAAATTCCAATAAAAATATCAGGAAAATAAAAAAAAATTCCCCGAAAAATCCCAAAAATCCAATAAAAATTCACCAAAAAAAAAAAAAAAATCTCTAAAAAAATCCCTCAAAAAATTTCAATAAAAATCCCAGAAAATTTTTTAAAAATCGCCAAAAAATCCCAAAAAACCCCACAAAAATTCCCCCAAAACATCCAATAAAAATCTCCGAAAAAACAAAAAAAAATTCTCCAAAAAATCTCCCAAAAATCCCAGGAAAATCCAAAAAAATCCCCAGAAATATTTTTTAAAAATGTCAAAAAAAATCGCCAAAAAATCCCCAAAAATTTTTTAAAAATCTCAAAAAAATCTCCCAAAAATCTCCAAAAAATCCAATAAAAATCCCCCCCAAAAAAAATTCCCAAATTTTTTTTTAAAATCTCAAAAAATCTCCCAAAAATCCCAAAAAAATCCCAATTTTTTTTAATCTCCCAAAAAATCCTCAAAAAAATCCACAAAAAATCCCAAAATATTCAATAAAAATCAAAAAAAATCCCCCAAAAAATCTTAAAAATTTTCAAAAAAAAATCTCCCAAAAATCCAATAAAATCTCAAAAAAATGTCAAAAAAATCCCCAAAAAATCTTAAAATATTTCCAAAAAATCTCCCAAAAAATCCAAAAAAATCTCAAAAAAAATCTTAAAAATTTTCCAAAAAATCTCCCAAAAATCCAATAAAACCTCAAAAAAATCTCAAAAAAATCCCCCAAAAATCTTAAAATATTTCCAAAAAATCTCCCAAAAAATCCAAAAAAATCCCCAAAAAATCTTAAAATATTTCCAAAAAATCTCCCAAAAAATCCAAAAAAATCCCCAAAAAATCTT